CCGGTCCATTTCCTATGAGCGCACAGGGAAACAAATACGTCCTTGTGGTTATGGACTACTTTAGCAAATGGCCGGAGGTATACCCGATTCCAAACCAGGAAGCTAAAACAGTAGCGGAGGTATTCACCTACAATTGGGTTGCGAGATACGGTGTACCTATAGAGCTGCACTCTGACCAGGGAAGAAATTTTGAGTCGGCAGTGTTCCAAGAGATGTGCCAGATACTGGGTATCCGGAAAACTCGAACGACGGCTCTTCATCCCCAATCTGACGGCATGGTGGAACGGTTCAACCGAACCCTGGAAGAGCATTTGCGGAAGGTCGTGGACAAGAATCAAAAAGATTGGGATGTCCGCATACCCTTGTTCCTGATGGGATACCGGTCAGCAGTGCATGAAACAACGGGTAAAACTCCTGCAAGGGTAATATTCGGCAGTGAGCTCCGTTTGCCTAGTGATCTGAAGTTTGGGGTGACTGGTGATGCTAGAAGGATTGGAAAAGAGACGTCAAACATCCTGGAAGAGGAGCTGAGAGAGATACATGCTCTTGTGAGACAGCGCACACAAATTATGAGTGACAAGATGAAAGCCAGGTATGATAAGGCGATGAATTCCGAGGGTTTCCAGGAAGGAGATTTGGTGTTGCTGTACAATCCACAACGAAAGAAAGGTTTGTCCCCAAAACTACAATGCAACTGGGAAGGTCCGTATAAGGTCGTAAAACGGCTAAATGACGTAGTGTATCGGATCCAGACCGTCGGGAGACCAAGAAACAAGATGAAGGTGGTCCACTTGGAAAGGCTTGCAGCGTTTGGAACCGCAAGTGTGTCTGATCGGGACGATCAGACTTAGGTGGAGGGCAGTGTGGCGAATACTGCGGCAACACAAAGCGAACAACGAGAAATAGGCAGAATGTTCGAAGAATGACGTAGAATGTTCCACAAAGAGAAACGTCAAGTTGGATGAACACTGCGAACAGCGAGAGAAAGAGAATGAGCGATAAACTTCAGAATGTTCTAGAGTTGCCATAAGTGCCAGCGCAGGTATATAAGGGCGCCGCCACCGCGAGGTGAGTTAGTTACAAGTCAGCAAGCTACAAGTAAAGTGAGCGGAGAATTGAGTTGCGAATAAGCAAGCTATAAGTTTAATTGTGTTAACAAGTAGTAAAGCGTTGTTATTGCTTTAACAAGTATTGTAAAGTGTTTTTACTGTATTAGCAAGTATTGTAAATTGTTTGTTGTACAATAAAGTTAATTGTACTACAATTCGGTCATCGTTAGCATTTATTTAACAATCCACCGATACGAGCCCGAGTATATTTGGGTAATCCCTCAAGGTTTCGAGGATAATCGTAACAGTATATTCAAACAAAGTTAAATCATCATTCGCATTTGTACTACAGCAGGTGGAGGTTGTATCTGTCTAAGTATTTCTTGTGCCTATTGTGAGTGTGAAGTGTGTGTCAATTGTTAAGTGTAAAAGTTGGATGTACCATTGTAAAAACTAGGTATTAAACTCCTAGAAAAACCCAAAAATTTGAAAAGGGGAAAAAAATAAGAAACTTGTGCTAGTGCTTGATCCAGACGTTCTTACCAAGGTGAGTGCTACAGTTCTTTGTGATTGGCGGCAGCCAAAATGGACAGCGACGCCTCGGCGTCAGAGAAGGGGGAGCCAAACCAGGAGCTGGACACCAATCCAGCGTCAGACTGGTTTGAGGTAGGAAGAAACAGAAAACAAGCTGCAAGGAAAAGACAGATAAATAAAACTACAAAGGGGGGTCTTCCAATAGCTGAGTCAGAAACAGACGACGACTGTACCAAACGGACGGACATAGCAAGTACTACCAAAAAATCTAAGACAGACCAAGCTAACGGCACTCGTATCCCGTTACAAGGAATGTTAGTGAAGAGATGAACATATGCTAAAACGACGACAAAAAACTTAACGGGCACTGCGGACATGAACAGTGAAAACAAGGAGAAAGAAACTTACAAAAACTCGGACTGCGAACAAACACGTACGACAGAAAGCAAAAGTGTGACCAACAGGGAAAAAGAAAAAGAACACGCGGACAGTGTGTGCTATACAAAAAGGCACAGGGGAGATTATTGCGTTCTGGTGGACACCTCAAAATCTAACACGATAAATAACGAAAAAATGCGTAATGGCATATTCCTTTGGGATATTATAAGACATTTTAATATTGAGGGGATTAAAAACATAAAAGCCATAGGTAGATCACTCTACAAAATTTTTTTTGAAAATTATGAAGCTGCAAACAAGTGCGTTAGCAATCCCGACTTAATTAAAAACCAAATGAGACCCTTTATACCAAGAAGCTTGGTAGAAACAACTGGTGTAGCTAGACAAATACCTCTTAACTTCACTGAGGAAGAAATAAAAGAAAATATCATTTCAGATATTCCTGTTACAGCTATCTCAAGAATTACCAGAAGAGATCCCAATGACAAAGAGAAGTTCATTCCAACTCTCGCTGTGAAAATAAGTTTTGAAGGCAACGAACTACCAGAAACCATAGACATTTTTTGCGTAAAAATCAAAATGGTTCATTACATTCCTAGAGTTAGGCATTGTTACAACTGCGGCAGATTAGGGCACACAAACATGGCCTGCAGAGCAGCTAACAGATGTATTATCTGTGGCAAGGCAACCACAAATTCGTGCATACTACGCGGAGGGGATAATCACAATTCACTCGAGAGCAGGAAATGTTCAAAATGGGCCAGAGAAAAACAGGTGGTAGAAATTATGACAATCAAAAAGGTATCGAAGTCTGAGGCGATTGGGATGTACAATTTAAACAATAATAACCGTTTCTCAGCTCTAGAAAACTATGAGGGAAATTTCCCACAGTTAGAAGCAAAAAGCACAGCAAGGATCAACAATGATGAAACAGTAAATAGAAAACTTACATCATATAAATACAATTACGTAGTTAGAAATCACCAAACCCACACAACAGCTACACCTAACCCTCCCAAAATATTGCCGAAAGCTACAACCAAAACACAACCCGTCTACGAAATGCAGAATTGGTCTAAGGTCACAGAGATTGAAAAGCTGGTAAATCTCCTTATAAAAAGGTACGACATCGACGTAAACGACCCCTTGGTTAACCTAATTCGCAATATAGGCGCAGTACACATTGAAGACAAAAATCCAAGTAACAAAGATGACAAGTCCAATAAAAATATTACAATATAACGTACAAAGCCTTAAAAGTAATAAAAACTATGTAGATTTCTTTAACACTAGTAATAACATTGATATAGTCTGCCTCCAGGAAATTTTTTCGCATGACAACCATACAACTCAACACAATTTAATGAACTTCAACTTACTCAGAAAGACCAGAATCGATGGATATGGTGGCGTAGGAATCGGATTTATAAAAGGTATAAAATTTACGAAAATCAAATTTGTTACAAATTACGACATTCTAATAGCCAAGACGATTAATCTTATTAATAATCTAACTATTTGCAACTCCTCCCAACCTTGACATTTTAAATTTTACTAACGAACTGAACCGCGTAGTACTTTTGCTTAACAATCATGAAAACGTTATAATAGCAGGGGACCTCAACGCTAGGCATCAAGTGTGGGGAGACAGAATATGCAACACCAAAGGAAAAATAGTTATTGACGAAATCAGTAACACCAATCTCCAGTGCATCAACAGTGGAGCAATCACTCACCGCACCGGTAACAGTGCAGGAACGGTAATTGACATAACTCTGACCAATATTAACAGCAGTTACACAAAATGGCACTGTCAACAAGTCCAGTTGGGAGGCAGTAAGCATTTCCCCATCATCGTTGAGGTCACTAATAGCAGCAAAAAGCCCAACTATTTCATCCCCAAGGAACGACTCGCCCAGGAACTTGCTCAGTTAAAATTCTCTGACTTAGAAAATATCACGACAGAAATAGACAGCGTTAGGAACAGGATTAAAATTGACTTAAACACATCCAGGCGTACCCCTAAAAACTGGTGGAGTGATGACCTCAAAAAACTGTACAGATTACATGTCGCTAAACGCAAAAAAGCTTATCATACTAACAATGTTAAAGACATGGAAGCCTCAATTACATCAACTAGCGACTGGAAAGAAACGGTGAAGGCGGCAAAGAAAGCGAGCTACAACAGTAAAATTGAGGAGATAAACACTTGCCCCAACTCGACACAGGCTTGGAAATTCATAAGAAATGTCAAAGGCAATAAACGTGCGTCTCACAATTGGGCAGCTGAAGATGACCGAAACTACTTAGAACTGATAAGAAATCAAGCTCAACAAGCCAGCAACCCTTGTAACGTCATCACTCCAACCACCGCTGCATCAGTAAACGCCAACAACAGCGTTGACTTTTCATACAGCAGATTCGAAAATCTATTAGCTAGGAAAAAATCTACTGCTGGGGGTTTCGACAGAATCACGTTTAATACATTAAAACAATTGTCCACTGAGTCCAAACAGTCGTTAGTAGACGCCCTAAAAGAACATTTCTACAGTAACAGGGTCCTAGACGCATGGAGACAAATAAAGGTAATTCCAATACCGAAAGCAAACAAAAACCATGAGGACATAAATAACTTTAGACCAGAGACCGTACCGGTTATGCATTTTATAATAAAAGTCAAAAAATTAAAGTTATTTTTTGACTTTTATCATTTTGAGCAAATAATACCGATTATTTCTGCTTTTTATTTTTTTAAGGCAAAAATAAAAGTTAAAATTTGCCTTTTATCTTTCTGAGCAGAAAATAATCGGTAATTCTTGACTTTTATTTTTTCAGGCAGAAATAAAAGTCAAAGCTAAAAATCAAGTATTCCAGAGTTGTGTATATTCGAATGTGATAGTTTTGAAGCTCCTACATGGATTTTAATAACCCCTAATACCCAAATACCGGAGTTAGTTCCAATCTATATGTATACATATACATATGTACATACATACAATACATGAAGGCATTTTTTGTTAACGACATCAGATCTGCACCGATTACTCGATTTGCAAAACTGAGGTGCCAAATTAAAGGGCTTAGCCTCTAGATATACCACAAGGTAGGACTCCTTTGTATAGGGTTGCCACCTTTTTTAAATTATAAAATCTGCACCGTTCGTTGTATTAAAACAAAAGAGATGACAAATGAAAGGGCTGGGCCTGTTGATGTGCAAGAAGGTCTCTTTTTTTTGAGCAGGGTTGCCACCTGCTTCTAAAATAAAAGACTTACACCGTTCGTTGTATTAAAACAGAAGAGGTGCCAAATGAAAGGGCTGGGCCTGTAGATGTGCAAGAAGGTTTCAGTTTTTTGAATAGAGTTGCCACCTGCTTTTAAAATCATAAGACTTACACCGTTCGTTGTATTAAAACAGAAGAGGTACCAAATGAAAGGGCTGGGCCTGTATATGTGCAACAAGGGTCAGTTTTTTGAATAGGATTGCCACCTGCTTCTAAAATTAAAGAATTACACCGTTCGTTGTATTAAAAGAAAAGAGGTACCAAATGAAAGAGCTGGGCCTGTAGATGTGCAAGAAGGTCTCAGTTTTTGGAATAGGGTTGCCACCTTCTTCTATAATCATAAGACTGACACCGTTCGTTGTATTAAAATAAAAGAGGTACCAAATGAAAGGGCTGGGCCTGTAGATGTGCATGAAGGTCTCAGTTTTTGAATAGGGTTGCCACCTTCTTCTAAAATTATAAGACTGACACCGTTCGTTGTATTAAAACAAAGGGGGTACCAAATGAAAGGGCTGGGCCCGTAGATGTGCAAAAACGTCTCAGTTTTTTAAATAGGGTTGCCACCTTCTTCTAAAATCATAAGACTTACACCGTTCGTGGAATTTAAAAAAGATGCCATATTGATGTAAAGATCTGCCTATCATATTTCAAACAATGCATTTTTAATTAGGCGGCAACCCTTTAAAAAAAACCAAAGCAGGTCTGTAGGTCAATATTTTTCATCTGAAATTTCATTTGGAGACTCGACAGAACGGTGTTAATCTGATGATCTCCCCAAAAATAAAATTTAATTAGGCGGCAACACTTTTCAAAAAAAAATAAGACGTTCTTTCTTGCAGATCTTTACATCAATATGGCATCTTTTTTTAAATTCCACGAACGGTGTAAGTCTTATGATTTTAGAAGAAGGTGGCAACCCTATTCAAAAAACTGAGACCTTTTTGCACATCTACAGGCCCAGCCCTTTCATTTGGTACCCCTTTTGTTTTAATACAACGAACGGTGTCAGTCTTATAATTTTAGAAGAAGGTGGCAACCCTATTCAAAAACTGAGACCTTCTTGCACATCTACAGGCCCAGCCCTTTCATTTGGTACCTCTTTTCTTTTAATACAACGAACGGTGTAATTCTTTAATTTTAGAAGCAGGTGGCAATCCTATTCAAAAAACTGACCCTTGTTGCACATATACAGGCCCAGCCCTTTCATTTGGTACCTCTTTTGTTTTAATACAACGAACGGTGTAAGTCTTATGATTTTAGAAGCAGGTGGCAACTCTATTCAAAAAACTGAAACCTTCTTGCACATCTACAGGCCCAGCCCTTTCATTTGGCACCTCTTCTGTTTTAATACAACGAACGGTGTAAGTCTTTTATTTTAGAAGCAGGTGGCAACCCTGCTCAAAAAAAAGAGACCTTCTTGCACATCAACAGGCCCAGCCATTTCATTTGTCATCTCTTTTGTTTTAATACAACGAACGGTGCAGATTTTATAATTTAAAAAAGGTGGCAACCCTATACAAAGGAGTCCTACCTTGTGGTATATCTAGAGGCTAAGCCCTTTAATTTGGCACCTCAGTTTTGCAAATCGAGTAATCGGTGCAGATCTGATGTCGTTAACAAAAAATGCCTTCATGTATTGTATGTATGTACATATGTATATGTATACATATAGATTGGAACTAACTCCGGTATTTGGGTATTAGGGGTTATTAAAATCCATGTAGGAGCTTCAAAACTATCACATTCGAATATACACAACTCTGGAATACTTGATTTTTAACTTTGACTTTTATTTCTGCCTGAAAAAATAAAAGTCAAGAATTACCGATTATTTTCTGCTCAAAAAGATAAAAGGCAAATTTTAACTTTTATTTTTGCCTTAAAAAAATAAAAAGCAGAAATAATCGGTATTATTTGCTCAAAATGATAAAAATCATATTTTTAAAAGTCATGGAGGAATCAGAATCTACAATGAGAGACGAGTCTAATGGTACCTTTGAAAAAGCTATAGCATAATTTTATCACTATGCCTTTTTGATATCAAAAATTTTAAAATAACTTTTATTTTCAGTCTCTGCTTTAGACCCATTTCACTCATATCTGTTGTAGTAAAGAGCATTAATATGATGGTGAAAGAATCGCTTAACGAGTTCCTGGAGACAAGCAACCGACTTCCCAAGAAGAGCTACGCCTATCGAAAAATGAGATCAGCAACAATGTGCATTAATGAAATGCTACATCTTATAGCAGAAAGAAAGAAATGTAGGGAATATGTTATGATCTGTTTCTTAGATATGTCGGATGCCTATAATAGAGTAGATCTTGGTTCACTCCACAATATTCTTCTACAATGCAACATCGACCCAACAATTGCAAACTGGATTAATAACTACTTTTCTAAAAGACATCTGACCCTAGGTAATCAGACTGTTGAGATAAACTCTGGCCTACCTCAAGGTAGCTGCCTATCCCCAACGCTATTCCATATTTATACAGCCCAACTGCACGAAATTAATAACTCTCAGACTCAACTATTTCAGTTTGCCGACGATCTTGCGTTAATATCCACTGGCACAAACAAATTCTCTGCAGCTCAAAATTTACAAAACAAAATAGAAGAATTACAAGCAAAATGCGACAGCTTAAATCTCATATTTAATCTGAACAAAACCAAATTCATGTATATGTCTGCAAATAATAAACAAACCTTTAGTGTATCCATCAACGGCCTAAACATTGAAAAAGTCCATCACTTCAAATGGCTGGGAAGAACAATCAGCGCGAACTCAACCATTAAGGTACACATTAGAGAAATTAAAAGAGCAACAACTTCAGGTAAAAACCTCATTTCTAAATTAACATCTATCAAGTCAGGCATTTCACCTAAAACTTCTATAAATCTTTTTAAAGCGTTTGTACGATCCAAAGCAGAATATGCCAACACCAGTTACGCCAATGCCCCTAAAGGGTATAACAAACAGCTACAAACCAGTGTAAATGAAACGTTGAGGAGATGCCTCGGAGTTCCTCCAAACACTCCAACACTCATGAGATACGCGCTGGCTTGTGAACTTCCACCTCTTCCCAGAGCTGTATGGCTTACGGCCAAGGAACTTGTCAAACAGTGGTTGATCAATCCTGAACTTAGAACACAGATCCAGAACAGACCTCCCATAAATTCCAGCTACAGCATAACGTACGAAAAATTTAAAGCAATTATCAACACCATAGATACAAATGTAGCTTTCAAAAGACACCATAACCTTAACTGTTACGAATCTGAATTGGCCCAGTCCAAAAAGAACGTTACTCCTACACAACTCAGAGCTATCTACAACAAAAAAATTAACACGCTAAAAGAGGAAGGTTTCAAAGTGTATGCCACTGATGCATCGGTGTCAGATAACAAAATTGGCTGTGCAGTCTATGTGGTAACGGCTAACGTCTCATACCTGTACAATATAGATGGAAACTTCACATCAACTTACGGTGAGCTAGTAGCACTTTCTCAAGAAATCACGATAGCCATTAATAATGAAAGTAAAAAAGTAGCAATCTTTACAGACAGCCAGAGTGCAATTAAGGCCCTAAAAAGCCGCACCACACAAAATTTCTTAGTAGCTGAAATCCATAACAAACTTTATCATTCCCAAATAGAAAACATTGCAATAATCTGGACACCTAGCCATGTGGGTATAACCATAAATGAAAAAGCAGATATAGCAGCAAAAACAGCGGTTGACCATGGTAAATCTTTACCCCCAAAACTCACACCTTGTGAAGCACTGAGAAGGATTAGCAAAATGTTGGGGACTGAAGCCAAAACAGAATTTACCAACAAACTTCCAAACTGGGACCCGGACATAGTAGAATTTTGCACGCCCAAAGAAAAACAGCCATGGTTTAAAAACAAAATATTGGACTTAGATGCATACGACATAAAACTCTTTAACAGAATCGCAACTGGACACACGTACGGTAGCACTTATCTAACCAAATTTCAGCATTACAGATCAGACAATTGCAGCGCATGCAACATAAAAGAAACTCCTGAACACCTCATATTTGATTGTATCAAATATAACAACTTACGTAACGATAATTCTCTTTTCCGAAAAAAAAGGTAATATAAAAGAAGAAAAAAAAAACAAAATAAGAAATTTAGAAAAAAAAAAATTAACTTATAAAGTATTAAAATATACAAAAATATTGTACGTTTTATACAAATGAGATAAAATATACTCAACTGATGAGTTTCACATACCAGTTATATATCAACTTATAACATTCGTTTAAACCAATGTACTCAATCTGTCAATATATGTTTGTGTTTTCAGTCTTGGTGTATTGTCTTATGTAGTCTTGTGTCGTCCTTAAATCTCATAAAATAAGAATGAGGAAATGGCACAACGCCGAAACCGGTTTGTCTGCAAACCACACTTGACAAGGGATGACGGAAATTCGTTCCAAAATAAATGAGGAAAGTAGCTGTTACGCTAACATCAGCCAGAAAGAAGCAACATCAAGGAGTCGTATAATAAAAGACTCTTCAACGAGGAATTTCAACAAAACACGTCGATATATGATAAATGGAAGCAACATTGTCCAGCAGTTTAGCCGAAGGATCATAACTAACCAAACAATCGTTCGCAGATAGACTTGTGTTATGCTAAAGGAAGCTGTAATCCACAGCGTTTGGGACAAATAGCAGTTTGACTTAGAAAAGAAACACAAATGGTATTAGACTACGATTACCACTGAATACATCACGTTTTAAAGAACCGGCTATTTAAGGTGTATAAACCTAGCCATAAATGGAACTGTCGATTGGTTCCTAAAGCCTAAAAAAAAAAAAACAAAACAAAGTTAAATAGTGAAATCTATTGAACGCAGTATTTTCATGGTGTTAGGGTCGATGGTAACAACAAATTGTGTTGTCACGCGCATCCAGACGCACCACTAATTGAGGACTATCGGGCTGGAGACATGATATGTTCGGATTGTGGGCTTGTAGTTGGTGACCGCGTCATTGATGTGGGATCTGAATTGTGTACATTTAGTAATGAGAAAAGCGGAGTTGATCCCAGTCGCGTTGGTGGGGCGGAAAATCCATTGCTGGGTGGCAGGGATTTATCTACTATAATTGGACCTGGGACCGGGTCCGCTTCTTACGATTCTTTTGGCGCACCAAAATATCAAAATAGGCGCACAATGAGCACTTCCGACAGGTCACTGATTTCAGCTTTTAAAGACCATAGTGGATCGTGCGAATAATCTTTTCAAACAGGTATGTTATGAATATGTATGTACCAATACACCCCGCGGGTACTGTTTATGAATTTGTACAACGATTTTGGATTGCTGTGCCCAAACGCATGAATCGAATCAAAAAACTTGTACACACACTTGTAGACAACAGTTCACGCTTTATTACAAAAATTTTATTTACTAACTCTGTGCACTATTATTATTATTATTATTATTATTATTATTATTATTATTATTATTATTATTATTTATTAACAAATTGAATAAATTAATCCGTTAATATTATTGAACGAGCATTAGCTGCCAGGACTATCAGCTCTAAATAATAAACTCTTTGTGTATCACTTAAAGAAGTAAAATTGTCAATCGAAGATCAGCTTTAATAAAATAATTATTTCTATATACGGACACGAATATGCTTTATAAAATTGTTTATATAATTTATATTTTCTTTCGTAGGCGTTTTAAGAAGTTCAATCCAGTTGCTTTTAAGATATTGGCTTCTGATTTCAACTAGGTTATAACAGTCTTGAAATATGTGTTTTAGAGAGAGCGTATCTCCACAGAGTGCACAGGATGGAGGTGGATCACCGGCCAGGAGATGTTGGTGAGTGTCCTGGGTATGGCCAAGGCGCAAACGGGAGTAGTTCTTAATCTGCGATTTTGGGATGTCGGTAGGGTATCGTATATTTTTTAGGTCTCTGTTGATGGATGTGTAGTGGTGATGGTTATACTGAAGCCATTCGCTCTTCGCGAAGCCATTCGTGGAGGTATCGCTTGATTGCTGCACACATGTCTTTCTTCTCGCAAGTTCCATCTTTTGTTACCGGTAGAGTAGGAACGGATTTTGCTGCGCCATCAGCCGCTTCGTTGCCGTAGATCCCTATGTGGGTACTGTTTAGTAAGTGGCCCACCTATTTCGGGGTATTGCGTCCAAAGGGGTGACCCGATCCAAAAAAAATTGCACACACTTGTAGCCAAGGGTCTACCCATTATTTTAACATCCAATATTGTAATTTTTGGTCACTAATTTATTTACAAATTGGGTTTGAAATATGACCTTTTTGTAAAATTTGAAAATTAGCGTACATTTATCACTCCTATTCTCCTTAAAGCAGCCACTTCACCAATTCATTTTTGTATTCCCCTTCACTTTACACTTTACTCGATTAGTTATAACTTGATTTACGACTTTAGTATTAACCAATTAATCACAATTCATTAAATAAAACACCTTCAAAATCATGCGTCTGACTTTGGTTGCACATGCAAATTAAATGGCGGAGTTCAGCTGTCAAACTCCGAAATACGCAAAAGAATGAGAGACAAAAGAAGATAGGATATAACCCAGTAAGCATTAAAAATATACAAAGGTGTTCTCTGCAAAAGGTGTTCAGCTCCTTTTATTCACAAAACAGAAAGGAGAATTCTACTGCCTGAGGGTTATAATCCCTAAGTGCGGCCGAAGGCCGCCTACGCAGCAAGGTGTTCTCTGCAAAAGGTGTTCAGCCCCCTTTCTTTGGCAACACAGAAGAGAATTCTACGTAGTGAGGGTTATAATCCCTAAGTGCGGCCGAACTAAGTTAAGTTGAGTTGGAGAAACCAGCCCTTAGAGTTTGATAAGGGATTTTGAATTGCATTCAGCACTGATTTGCTGTCCGAGCATATGAGAGTTTTGCAGCCCTTCTCAAACGCCAATGTTATTGCACAGCGGATTGCGACTGCTTCTGCAGTGAAAGAAGACGCGGTGTCTGATAGAGTCTGTACCATCAAAGTGTGACCAAACTTATTTACTACTGCGAAGCTTGCTGGTGAGGTTTCTGTTCTCGACCCGTCTGTGAACCATATGTTCCAGCCATCAGCTTCATAATGAATTTTGCGCTCTCGGAACAAACATAAGAAGACATCAGTAGGGGTAACGCTTTTTTTTAGTCTAGCCAAACCGACATCGCATGACGATTTCATGATCTCCCATGGCAGATGTTTTGGTTGGTAGTTTTCCTCCGTGTAGTGGAAATCTAGATATTTGGAAACTTCCAGTATTCGATGTATTGCTGAGGGAGTTCTTTGCTAATGTTTTTGATGTCATTATCAATGACCGAGTTGGATGGAAAAACAATTTTTGGTATTAAGCTCGAATAGACTTGATGTACTCTTTCTTCTACAGATGGTAAACCAGCCTCTGCTAATAGGTTTTTGATGGGAGTTGTGCGGTATGCGTAGAGACTCGCTGTTGTTGTTGTAGCAGCATACAAACTCCCCAAAGAGTTTTTGGCGAGTGTTGCTGGAGTGACAGTCCTTGGCCAAATATAAATCTGGGTCGTTCCGGTTACGCAGATCCGACTGTCGTGGGAACGTAGCGTAGTAGGGACTCGCTCTCACCGATTGGTGGTAAATCGGCTTGAATGTATTTAAGATTGATCTAGGAGAGTTTCCATGCAGGTAGAGTCCATAATTGATTTTGCTTTATAATAGAGTTTTAGTTAAGTATATAAGTGTATTAGTATGTGTAGTATATTCGTACTTACGAATATCCACTTCAAATAGTACACATATATTGTACTTACAATATATACACTTATAAAAAGCCGGAGGAAAAGAAATTACTTGAGCACGTTGCTTAGTGGTAGAAAATGTAGTGGTGGTTTATTCACATGCATATCGATAATTCTAGTGTTGGGTTTATTAACAATGGAGCGTTCGAGAGGCAGCGCAATATTATACGTACTTAAGGTCAAGACACATAAGTGTGCTAAAGGTCACGTCACATAAAAGTGTGCTATGCTATATTACACGCCTCCCTCAAAGTTGAAAACTTACTTTAGTTTTATACAAATTCATTTACATTTGTTCACTTTTACATTTGTTTTTTTTGTAATAATACTAGTTCAAAAAATTTACATTCGTTTTTTTGTAATAATACTAGTACAAAAAATTTACATTTGTTTTTGTAATAATAATTTTGAAATATTTACATTTGCTTTAGTTTATGTTCTTCTCTTTAGAAAAAAAAATTTATAAAAAACTATTTTTTTACGGCTTTGCCGTCTTGGCGTGGTCTTAAGGCACGCTTAGGTGTTATATCATCAACCGTCTGAGGCGTATTCTCTTTAGTGCTAGTTTCATTACTACTTTTGCTGGTAGATTGGTCATTTATAACCAAAGTATTGGGATTAGCCTCAGCGTCAGTACTAATGCTACCTTCACTATTAGCGCTATTGTTTGAAGTAGCTTCTGATTCAGATACTTCAATGGTGTTTGCCGATTCAGACGCTTCATTAGAGTTGCGTGGTCGAATTTGATTAAGATGTCTTTTGATTGTTCTATTATTTAACAATGTACAGCAGTATGACCTAGGGCCTAACTGTTCTCGAATTGTACCTGGAGACCAGCTAGCTTTATTGGGATTACTGTAGTCACGAATCCAAACTTTTTGACCCTGACTCAGTTCTAATTCACGTTTTCCACGGTAGTTGCGTTCACTAATCTCTTGTTTTTCAATAATTTTTTGCTTTACTAAAGGAGGCTTAAGAGTAGAAAAACGAGTCTTGAGTTGTCTACCAAAAAAAATTTTAGCTGGAGACTCGCCTGTGGTACAGTGTACTGAGTTGCGATAGTCTGCCAAAAATCGATTAATTATGTTGTCAATGTCAGCATTAACATTGGCTTTCAGACAAGCATGAAATGATTTTTTAAAAGTTTTTACAAAATTTTCAGCTTGACCGTTTGATGCAGGGTGACCAGGTGGTGTTAACGTTTGTTTTATTCCATTGCAACGTAAAAATTCCTTGAAATCAGCTGAAGTGAATTGTGAGCCATTGTCACTGACCAATACATCCGCCAGTCCAAAACGACTGAAAGTTTCTCTTAATTTACTTATAACAAACTTGGATGTTATGTCTTTGGTCTTAAATATCTCCACCCATTTGGAATAAGAGTCAATGACAATAAGAAAATGAAAATTTTTAATAGGTCCTGCAAAGTCTAAGTGAATTCTACTCCAAACAGAATCTGTTGGTTTCCACGAAATTAACTTACTCTTTTCAGGACTAGACTGCAGAACTTGACAAGGTTTACAACTTTTTATCAACATCTCGATATCATTATCTAACCCTGGCCACCATACATAGGATCGCGCGAGACCTTTTGTTTTAACTATACCCAGATGAGAAAGATGTAGCGATTCTAAGACCGATTGTCTTAGTTTCTGTGGAATGACCGTTCTATAACCCCACATGATACATCCATATTCAACGCTCAACTGGTCTGCCTTGTCGCGATATGCTTTAAAACTTTCATTTTTTACATTTGGTAATGTACCACTTTGAATTGCTTCAAGCAGTCTTGAAAACAAAGGATCTCGTTTGGTTTCTCTTGCGATATCATTAAAACTTAAAGAAATGTGATTGTCAGACTCAACAAAATTTATATAATTACATTCTGGTAAATCTTTACCAATAACAGATTGTGGAATTCTTGATAAGTTGTCAGCATCATTAAGGCTGCCCTTGACATACTCTACAGTATAATTAAAACCAGATAGAATTAGTGCCCACCTTTGAACACGAGCAGATGCCATAACAGGTAAACCCTTAATTTCACTGAAAACTGACACCAGTGGTTTGTGGTCTGTTAA